TGTCTCGTTTATGTTGCGTCTCTGATCCAACTTTGCCGCGAGTCCGAACGATTGCGAGAAGACTCTGTTCCGTCGGGCTCGCGCAGCGAGATATGCGCTACCGTGACGGTTTCAAAAAATATATCTTGTTCACTGCCAGGCCTTCCTTGATGTAGCGTGCTTGACAGCTCAACGCCACAACAACCAAGCTCGTTAGTTTATCTCTAGCTACGGATGCCAACCCCGTAGGCTTGGAAATTCGCGTTACCAGGGCCGGGCAACGATCGACACGCACAGGCCGGAGACGTTGATCGCAAATGATTTCTGTGGTCAGCTCCATGTGGGCGATGAAACGAACTCTGTGACGTTAAGGTCACTTTGCATTTGCAACGAACGGATCGCAGGCCGCAACGCAGACCATGTTTGCCCGAACTGTCACCTCGTCGACGCAAGTGTCCGTGGTCCAGACACCCGGACGCCAACGAGTTGGCAAAGGCAAGCCCAAGGCCAAGCTCAGTCAGCAGCGGTACCGTACGCAGAAGCGGGAGCAGCTTGAACACCTCGAGCACTACGTCCAGCAGCTCCAGCGGCACATCGCACGCTGCGAAGGCCAGCTCGAGGTCTTGCGCACACCCGTGTGTTCGCACGACGGTGTTCTCCGCACCGCGGCCGATTACTTTTCGCACTTTCGCCTCGGATACCAGGTCCACCGACCGGACTTGAAGCAGCAACAAGACGCGTTCCTCCGCAGCGTCATGCACTCCGACTTGCTCATTATGAACGAGGTATGCGTTGTCACTTTCCAATTCCAAATGGTATAGTATGGCAACTAGAGAAGTCTCGAGAAGCTTTTTGCCCAGTGGCAGCTCTACTACCACCTCTTTCCGGCGTTTGAGATGGAGATATTGGCGCTCGACGTGCTCGTCTGCGATGAGACGCGTCTCGTGCGCGCGCCGGTGACGCTTCACCTGCGTCTCTCTCGCTACTCGCTGCAGTGTCTCTGCCCGCACATTTTGCAGGACGAGTGGCTCGTCCAGCGTTTGGTGGGCCAAGTGCTCTCGGTGCCAACGATGATTCATTTTCATTTTCGAAGCGACGGCGCGATCGACCAAATGGAGACAGCGACCGACATCGCGGCAGCGCTCGTCAGTCTTTTGGGCAGCACAGACGAGGCGCTTGCCGTGGCGGACGGCGCGCAGATGAACTCAAGTGGCGAGCTCACGCTGCTCCAGTAGTGCGCTAGCCTTCTTTATTTGTAATTCATTTTCTGGTGTACGACCTTTCTGGTGCCTCTGTCGTCCGGAGCGTAAGCCACCGCGTTTCACATTCGATTCGGGCACTGCAAATCTCTGCAGGCAGCCCAGACAGACAGTGTCGGCAAAATAATTACTAGATATACTCACTTGGCACTCGCGATCAACTTTTGTATTGTGATGTGTCCTTTCCACAGCTTTGTTGCGGTGCCTGTGGGTGCTCATATAATGACAATGGACACTATATTTTCTCGCTTTAGCGACATGGTGGTCGAAGTCTCATGGGCAAGAAGTGGGGCTGCTCACGAGCTCGGCGTTCCCCTTCATGCGAGCCCCGTCCAGTACAAGGAGCGTGTCATTGACATCGCGAAGCAGCTCTTCGAGGCTGGCCGTCATGTTGGCAGTCGTCTCGAGCTCTTCGATACGACCGCTCGCGTCGTAATGAAAGTGGATCAATATCGGCAAATGGAGCACTTGGCCGACGAGCTTTTGGACAATGCGCTCGTTGCTGAGCACGTGCGGGTAGAGGCACTCGATGGTATAACGGGAGATGCGGAGGTGCATGACGGCGGGGGCCCGCACGATCGCCGCGTCTGCGAGCTTGATGGTTTCGAGGCGTGGACACGCCATCTCAAACGACTGAAAGAGCGAGTGGTACAGCGTCCACTGCTCAAAGAGCTTTTGAATGCCAATCTACTCGCAAATACGGTCGGTCGTATGTACTGAGATGCAAAATTCGGTACCTGGCCCATGAAGCGGATGTCAGGCTGCATGACGCTCCGAAGAAAGTCGCATTGATATTGCCCGTACGACGGCATGCTTTTCTGGGAACTGTGCCGGAAAATGCGAAAATACTCGTTCGCAACCTGCACTTCCGGTTCGTGGAGCCGAACCGAGCTGCGCAAAATGTCGAGTTGGCCCTGGTACCGCGCGATTTGGTTGTGCAGCTCGGCGACTTCCCGTTCGCGACCTTCCAGTGCATGGCGCTTCTGGGCCCGATACCGCTGCTGGTTGAGGCGGCTCTGGGAGCGGCGGAGCACGACGTCGTCGCTGAGCGGGCGGATCTGCGGCACATATGGCGCGGGTCGGTGGAGCATGTTTGTGCAAAAGCGGTCAAATTCGAAACTACGAATAACGTAAACCGGCGTTGCTGCTCGGCGCCAAAGAATTGCGACGCGGTATCCTTCGATATCGGGCCGTTGCAAGATATTTATATGTCACAGATTTGTACAAACCGTGATGTGTCGTACACCGTACGTGATCAGAGGTAATCGTTGTCGTTCCACGTGAAAGGAATGGTTCCGACGCCAACTTCGTGGCTACCGCAGCAACATCAATATTTTTGTCGCCCTTGGCACTGAAAAAATAAAATAAGACCGAGACCGCAGGGCACTGCGACGAGAACGAGGCAATGAACGCACGTGCGTCACACCGCGTCCGTGCGTGCCCACGCGCTGCGTTTTCGGCGAAACGAAAAGCGTCGAAACAGTCCTCTCGCATGATTTTGCGCACGTTATTGGGAGGAAGTGTGACCGCGCATCGTCACTGTACGCCGCCAACAACGCCTTGGCTTGTGTCTCGTTCCTCTGGCCTCAACTGAACAGAGAAGAAGAGCATGTGTCAAGTCCGCGTTCGTCGTTCCAGAATTGTATTATGCAAAGCAACGTGGCATCACAGTGCATACAAACATCAAGTTTGCATATCTTGCGTAATTTACCCGCTGCTGATTGGCCAACTTCACGGCCACACAGCTTGAAATCGACCAATCCTCGTGCAGCGATTTGGAAACTACATGTGCCACCCCGTTCGCATTTGCCGCCCGAAGTACCGGTACACCTCGAAGCACATGAATCAATCCACAAAGCATGCGTGCAGTTGCAGCGGTAGCATCTCTCGTGCAGCTGCGTTGGCCGTGCCTGTCGCTAAACGGTACAAGTGGCCTCGAAAACGTTTCGCCGGGGTCCGCAGCTGCCGAAAGGCCCTTGCACACAGCTTTTTAGGCACGCCAGATAGCTACTGCTGAAGTTCTGGACCGCGTGATCTTTGAGGGTGCTTCATATTACGATGATGGGACCGTACGAATGGTTGGAGCTGCCACCTATTTCTCTCCGTGCCGTTCGATGATTTGGACTGGGGATCAAGATTATGGTCCTTGACATGGCTGTCATCCCTGTCGAGCAAAGTTCTTGCCGCACAAAGAAGAAACATAGATATATGAGCACGTATGGATGCATTATATGAATGCATTATTAGCTGCTCGTGATGGTCTTTTCGACTTGGAGCTCGGCGTTGTGCTTGATGCGGGCGCCGTCCAGCACAACAAGCGTGTCTTCGACGCTCTCGAGAAGGTTGGCCCAGCCCACAGTCATGTCGGCGGCCGTGTCGAAAATGATGACGCGGCCGTCTTCGTCATAATGCAAGAGGATCAGCACCGACATGCGCAGCACTTGACCAATGAGCTTTTGCACAAGCCGCTCGTTGCTGAGCACGTGCGGGTATAGCGCCTGGAGCGTCGTCCGCGAGATGCGCAGATCCATGTTGGCGGGCGCCCGCACGACGCGGTTGTGCTCGAGCGTCATCGTTGTCATTTGCGTACACGTCATTTCAAACGAGTGAAAGAGCGTGTGGTACAGCGTCCACTGGTCGAGGAGCTTTTGGATGCCAATCTATGGGAGCGTCAACTACTATGATAGTACAAGCGACTCCAAGATCGTACCTGCCCCATAAAGTTGACGCCTGCGTCCATGGTCGCGTTCAGAAACTCAAACTGTTGCTGCGCGTTGCGCGACTGGCTGTAGCGGAAGATGCGAAAGTACTCGGCCGCGACGTGCACCTCGGGCTGGCTCAGACGCACGGCGGCGCGGAGCACGTCGAGCTGGCCTTCGAGGCGGGCGACCTTCTTGGCGAGCTCTGGCACCTCCTTCTCGAGCTTGGCGTGCGACTGCTTCTTGTTGACGCGGTACCGCTTCTGGTTGACGCGGCAGCGCGCGAGGCGCTTCGCCTTGGCTGCTTCGTCTTCGCCTGTCGTCGTCATGGCGAATTCAATTCTGAACGTGGTGGGTAACACCGATCCCAGCGGCGCCGAGGTCGACCGATTCGTATTTTGACGTCACCGGCCAAACATTAGACATTCCATAAATAGCCGCGTGTCGCAAATGCTTGAAAGCAATACAAAGCAATGGCATTGGTGCCTTGGTGCCAACTTTGTAAATGTCGTCACGAAGCCGTAGGTGCTGTATTGGAAGCAACGAGGCAACGCGTGCCTTGCACAATGCTTGGCAGGCAAGCGCAACAATCTCGTAGCGACCGACGAATCGAGCATTTTTAAAGAACTCGAATGCAGCTGCTCGATAGCACGGCCCTCCCTCACACAGCCGCGGCAGATGGCAGACAAGTTGCGACGCAAGGTGTGTCAAACTTACGTGACTCGGTGCAAGCGGGTGGATCACCAAGAAAAGTGATCATCGCTCGGCGTGGCTTTCTCTTGTGTTAGAATTAGTCTCGGCGTGCTGCTATCTCGCTCTCTGGGCACGGCTGCGATGGCAAAGTCGTCGACGGAAGCTTTCGAGGAGCGTCGTCCGAAGCCGTCAACTGGAGGATGGGGATAGGACCGTCGTGCCGGACGTTGCAAAGCAATTTAGCGTGACGACACCGGCCTTCCTGCGTCCTGTGCTCGTCCTGAGATCTGAAACGCTACTGGAATGAGGCGTTGAAGAGCGAGGTAGTATGGTCATTTGTGTCAACGGAGCAGCACCGACCACTTCTTCTGTCTGTCCAGCGCCCATCGAGTTCAATCCATTCACGATTGCAGCGCACCGATCAGCCCTTGCGATAGCTTTGATAGCCTTGCGACGCAGCTGGATGTTGCTGGACAGTGGTAACTATGAAAAGACCAAGCTACTAACGTTACTAGTACCTCGGACGCAGCTCATCTAGTAATCGAATAGGCTCGGTCGAGACCTGTGGTGGAAGTATGAATAGCACTGTATCTTTCTTGTGCCGGACTTGGTCGATTCCCATCGAACGGCAGAGAAGTCGTGGGTGCCAGCTGCGTGAGGTGTGTGAGATCTGCGCGATCTGGACGTGACTCTAGACAGAAACGTCGCTTCCATCGGGAGCTGCTGCAGAGAACAACGACGACCCGCTTCAGATTACCAAGTGCATGAGCGAGGAAGTCAGGTGAAGCTCCGGTTTTGCGTGTCCATGCCACGCAAATGGCACTGCAAGTTCAGAACAAAGCATTGATGATGTCTGTTCCACCAATCGCATGTCTACAAGGTGTCTATTGGGTGTTCACAAGCCGTGTCTAACACGTCAACATAACATAAAAAAATGTTTTTACTATTGCTGAGCTGGACACTGGGCTACATTCCATCAACACGCTCTCGTACATAAACCAGTGTGGAGAGCAAATAACATTATCACGTCCTACGAGCAATCGCTATGCAGCGCTCGGTGCTTGCAGCTCGGCCTCGGCCGTGATTCGGACGCCGTCGAGCACCGTGAGCGTGTCTTCAAAGCTCTCCAGCATGTCTCTCATGCCAACGACAATGTCGGCAAACGTATCGAAGCGCGTCACGACGCCGCGGCCGTCAAAGTGGAATTGGCAGAGCACCGGCATGCGCAGGACGCGGCCCACCATGCGCTGCACAAGCGCTTCCGAGCGCAGGACGTGTGGGTACAAGGTCTCGATCGAGCGGCGCGAGAGGCGCAAATGGAGCACCGCTGGCGCACGCACCATCGTCGTGAGAGCGTCGAGGTGGACGATCTCCAAGGACGGGCACTCCATCGTGAACGAGTGGAAGAGCGTGTGGTACAAGGTCCACTGCGCAAAGAGCTTGTCAATACCATCCTACACAGCCATATTTTCATAAGCACAAAGTCGTATGGCGTCAAGCGTGTGTACCTGACCCATAAACACGAGGTTCGGGTCCATAACGCCCGAGAGAAAGGCCCGCTGGACCTGCGCCACGTTGGGCGCATCGACTTGAAAGCCGTCGCGAAACATGTTGAAATACTCGAGCGCCGTCTTGAGCTCGGGCTCACGGAGGCGCACGGCCGAGCGCAGCGCCTCGACCTGGCCTTCGTACCGAGCGACTTGGTTTGTGAGTTCCTGCACCTCGCCTTCGAGCGCGTCGAACGCTTGGCGCTGCTCGGCGCGGTACCGGCGCTGGTTGACTTTGCTCTGCGCCCGGCGCACGACCTTGCGCGCGCTGATCTTGTCGAGCGGCGCCGCGGCCTTGGTGAGGCCCATGCTGCTCGCGTACTTGGCCGTCGCTGGCACGAGCGGTCGCTTGCCGACCATTGGAGCTGAAATTGTAAAGTGGGGCTGGCGATAGATCTGGACGCAGCACATGCTTTTAATTGGCCAACGTCATGTCAAAACAGCCAATCAGCGCGTATGCAGGCCGACAACGCCCTGTGAGAGTACTTGGCTGCTGTTGTATTTTATCCAATCCGAGCGATTGCGTGTGAGGACGGCATGCGACATGAATACTGAAACCAGCAAACACTTTCCACGTTGTTTACGTGAGCGCGTCGAGGGACCGCGACAAAAAAAGCTGGGAAGGACCACAAAGCGCAAATTAGAATGTGAAATGTGGCACAAAACATGACCAGGCGCCCGACTAGTTATGAAGGCGCGCTGGAGCTCGTAGGCCCGTTGGCGGAGTCGCCGAGCTCGAGTGTGGTACGTTTCTGAAGTGCGCCATTTGAGAGGTGGAACATGAGCTGGCGTCAGGATTGAAGCTGACGTGATGCGTGAGGAAGATACGCTTGATGCGTGAGGAAGACACGCACAACCAAAATAACGCGAGATTGGGATTTGAACGTGCTACCAATCAATCGTTCGTTGCGTCTCGCCCCAACAACAAAGGGACTGTGCAACGAAACGAAATGACCTTTTCAGCTGAAGAACATAACCACGTTCAACTCCTAACGCACTGAAACCATCCCCACTGGAGAAGGCACCAAGAAATGACTTGCGACTCGGAGCCAAATGCTGAGCATACACGTACCTCACGTACCTGCTCTCGGTGCGGACCGCGTTGTGAGCGTGTATCGAGGTACAGCTCGCTTGTCTGCAGCTGCTGTACGAGCATTTTTTCCACGCATAACGTTAGTCGCCATACGTAAACTTGCGCACGAGTGTTGCGCCAAGCAAGGCGGGGTTTGATTCTTGGTGGATTGTCCCGTATGTTTTAAATAGTGCAATGAGTGTTTCCTCAATCAAGACCGAGCTACTTGGGGGCAACAACCGTGTTGGTGTCCGCCATGCCAGAGGTGGGCGAGGCGCGGGTTAGCTTTTGACTGATACTACAAATTCGTGGATGGCTCGAGCCGCTTGCTCTGCGCCTGGACGTGTGCGTGCTTCCATATCTTGGTCTTCTAGAACGCTCGGCCTTGCGCGGAAAACCTCTTCCACTTCTTGGAAACGGCACAATTTTGCACATATTATCAGACATGGTACCAACGCATGTCGGTACCATGTCTAGCGGCGCGTGTCGCTCAAATGCACTTGCACCACAGCCTCGTTCAAAACCCAGGGCAGATGGCTCTACGTCGCCTTCTCCGGCTCCTCGCTCAACACGAGTGGCCGCGTCAGCACCTTGTCCCGCGGATCGCGCTCCTGCCTCCGCCGGCCTAGATCAAGATCATCACCAGCGCCTACACAACGAAGAAAGTCCGACAATTTTATTTAGCGTAGATTTACGTATCTATTTTAATAGAAGACCCACTTCAACAACAACCAACGCATGTCGGTCGATTCAGTAGAGATTTGTTGGGCCCTTCCAGCGGTGGCCACTATGAACATATATCGAATGCCACACCAGTTTCGTACTGAAGAAGTCTAATTCGCTTTAATTTCAGTCATGGTGGTGAATGGTTGACTCGAAGCGGGATGGTCCGCGTTGGCAAGATCTGCTGTCAAGAGCTTCCATTCACATAGTATCCGGATCCGGATATATATAGACCTATGTTGCAATGTTTCAAGCTACGCGTGCATGGCGAACTCAAGTGGGTTTCGACGTAGAACTGCTAGGTTGGTGGCGTTCTCGATCAACCCCGTCGCCAGCGCTATTGAGCATCCAAGCAATGTGCGCACTCCCCGTTAGTGACCGCCCTGCGCCACAACGGATGGCCATACACCACATCCGCAGTGAGTATAATAGTTGTGAGGTGTTTTGCTCGTGCTCGTCCGAAGGCAAATTCAGGAATGTGAGTGGTTGGGATGCTCTGCATGGAGGCTAGTCCCGACGGTAGCCTCGCTACCACGAAATTACGAATGGTGTGCATGTCGAGGGCTGCCTTGACGCGGTTGGGAGACTGTTCCACGCTACGCCATTGGCGGGTAAACTTCGTGCGCATGAAGTCGGTCAACGACTTTTTGTCAAGGGTGTTGCGAAGACTGCCGTCAAAAGTTTTCCTTCTGACGGCCCCAAGGCCAGTGCAGCGGGCTTGGACGTGGAGGGCAAATGCGGCAAACGATTGGCTAGCGTCGCAAAGATCCAAGGCAAGCTATTGGTCCTCGACGCATAACTCAACATCAAAGAGCGACAAGAATGGCTGCACGCGAGAGAGGCTGGTCGTATCGAATCACCAACGACACCACTCTCGTCACCAGCCGAATCAGCAACAAACGCCGACAGAGCAGAATGTCGATCGTAGGAGTCCTGAGATCCCCTGCACGAAGTCTCAAACGCAGGAACGTTGTCCACAGAGAACACGACGCAGAGCATGAACAAAGACGTAAAATAACCAGGGCGTACTAAAAAATAGCAAAGGCATTAAATAGTTGTGCCCTTGGTATTGACTTCTAAACTGCATACCTCCAACAATACGCCTCGAGAAAGTTCTTTTTGCATTGACCCTTGCCTCGGGGACGAGGTGACTGTGAACTCGTCAAGACGTTGGTCGGTGCTGTCGGTGTCCCTGTTGAGGATATTGATAGGCACGCAGCTGCCAGTACTTGTTCGCCTTTCTGTGCGACAATATGAGCGATTGTTCTACTCGTCACTACTAATACGCCAGCAGGCACTACGCTAGCAATAACATGATCGATCGCAAGGCGGCGAGGCATCCCTACAATACTGCAGGGTGTGTTGTTGTACACTTCTTCGTCGTACTACTGTATGCAAGGCCGGTCGCGGCTCCAGCTCCGAGCAGCGACTCGTATATTTTGCCGAAATAGCACGGCAGTTCCCATGCAGCCATGAGCCATGCTAGTTCGGCGGCAAATAGTGCGTCTATGACCTCGACACTCTGCAAGTTTGAACTCGTAGTACAGTGTATTGACCTGGCAAACGAGCTCCGCGTTCGTTCGTTGAGACCAACCCCATTGGATACCCCAGCCCTACTTCTGGCGACGCGAAGACGGGGGCAGAGCTCGGGGCAGCAGCCCAATCTGGAGCCCTCATTCTAGATTTGTGTCCAACTGGAGCTCACATGCGCTTTGTTCGACGCAACGTGCATTGCATAACTTCATGCAGTACGGATACCGTGAACCTTGATAAACCACTGGAAGCCACGTCCAGGAGCTCTAGAAGCGCCAGAAGCTCCAGAAGCTGCTCCAGATTCTCGCCCTGCTCATCGTGCTGTCCAAGGCGCCAAACATAAGGGAAATCGACGCCCTCAAGGAGCAATTTCCAAGCACGTTCCTGAGTGTCGAGACTCGCATACGGTGTTTCCCAAATGGCGCTCCTTCGCTGCCTCTCGGCACGACTCTAATTGCCGAGTGCGCTGCGACTTGCGTACCGCACGCTTCAGAAAGCCCATTACACGTACAACCACGACCTTGTCGGACGTCAAGGGGACATGTTCGGGCACGCTTGCAGTGGGTGCGGCCTGTTTGTGCGAAGCCATTGCCTGCCTTTCGTCAGTCGTCGAGTGGCTAGAAATCGACACCGCCCTTCACCCGTGTGTTGACGAAACACCCAGCTGTCTACGCAGCTTGCGGTTGGTGCTGACACGTATCCCACTGGAGGGGCTTCTCTTGGTTTTAGTATGGTTGCGTCATCCGTCTCGACAAGCTCGACGGCGGCAATCAGATTGCACTTGGCCTTTCTGAACGGCCACGAGAGCGAATGGGAAGCGACTTTACGGTATAATCCAATCGAGTTTCGCAGGTTTTGCGACGGTTTCCTGTCAAAATCAATATTCCTTGGCCGTTTGACGGCGGGACAACCGCATTTGGAGCGTTTTTGCACTTTCCAATTTGAACTTTGGGATGGATCCGTTCAAGCTCAGTCCCATCGCGCCCGGCTCGTCCAGCTTCTTTCCTACGCCCACCGAGATCTCGGGGGGTGTCCGATGGCTCCGCGACCACCCTGTCATGGCCGCTGCCACCTGCGCCGCCGCCACCGCCTTCTCGATGGCAGCCTACTTGGCCATGCAAGCCAAGGAGCCTGTCCGTCTGCTCCACGTGGCGCCCAGCGCCGAGCTCTTCCCGGCCAAGCGCACCGTGTCGCCGTCCGATAAAGCCACCGAGCAGGACAGCACGTTCGACTTCAGTGACTACAGCGAACTTCGCCACCACCGGCGGCGCAACACGATGGAAGATGACTTGCCCGAGTGCCCCAAGTCGCCCGGCTACATGTCGCTGTCGCCGCTGGAGCATGCAGTGACAGCCGACCAAGGCGACGACATGGGCGGCATTGGGTCGCCCGAATGGGGCTGGTACGTCTCGACCACACCGCCCGAGGACTACTACCCCGCGCCCGCCATTTGCTACGGCCGCTGCGAGTGAGGCTCGACTATTTAGGCACAAATAATAACTTATTCTCAAGCAAGCACGCTCACTACGATCGTATCCGCTTGATCAGCGAGACGGAGCCATGGGTCGCTTTTCTGTGCACAACGATCCGCGCGTTTGGCTACTCGGTGAGCGGGAAATGAAAATGACACAGCAAAACTTCGAGCGAGTACAGTGGGTGCATTATCTCTATTGATAATTCCTACCGCGACCTTCTCGGACCTCGGAGGAGCAATGATGAAGGCGCAGGGCGCGGGCGCGCCGGCCGTTATCTGGTCAAATATTAGCTATGGGCGAGAATGAGTAGGCGAAGATGTCGTAGGAGGCACTGTCGCGTGCGTCCTGCGAATCGTGCAGAGAGTCGACTTACGTTCCATCGTCGTCCTCTTCAAAGCTCGTAAACATGCTGCGAACATCGACCATGTAGCCCGCGGCCTCGACGAGCATCGGCGTCGCGGCAACCAGCGCAGGGCGGACAAGCTGCGACGGCGCATGAGCCGAGAAGTTTCGGTGGTAGCAATAAGAGACGACGTACCGACTCTAAGACTACTTTCTGGTTGTGAATCCTCCGGATCGCGTTCGCAGTCGAGCGCGACGAGCCGCGGTCGAGCGCGCGCTGCATCGCGCGGTTCACGCGCAGGGTCGCGCCGGGACGGAAGAACATTTCGGACTCTGGCGACCAACAAGTTTGGCTGCAAAGACTGGCGCCACATTTTGGCCAATGGCCTTGGCGCGTGCTACCAGCCGGATGCAGATTGGACAAAAAGATGAGAATTCCTATGAATATCTTGACGTGAACTTCAGTGAACAAGACGCCACCATGGCATCGCCGTCCGAGACCCCGCTGCGCGTCAGCCCCTTCTTCCCGCGTGCGCCGAAGGCCTGCAAGGCCGTGGCCGAGCCCTTCTTCACCTGCCTCCACTCGCATGGCAAGCAACCCGAAGGCGTGAGCGACCCCGATGCCGGGACGAAGGCCATGGCCATCTGCGCGGCGCAGCTCCAGGCCTACAACCAGTGCGTCGACCAAGCGCTCACGAACAAGCCCAAGAAGCTCTTCCGCGTGCCTGAGGCCTACCGCGTTCGCGATGAGTAGGTTGGAATAAGTTTATTCGACATAGACTCTGTCGACCGTGCGCTCGTCGCTTGCATCACCGCGCGCGGATCGTGGTGTCGCACTATGGCTACCGGTACCTGGCGAGGCCCTCGGCGCAATGGGCTCGTGGGCCGAAGACGTGCAACGGGTACACATTCTCTATGTCTTATAATGATGGACGATGTATTATGCTTTCACACGGACAACAACGGGGTCGACGCCACGTCGCACGGACGAAGAAAGTCGCCCGATGTACACGATGTAGTCGCGCGGCCGCTTACTGCGGGACGTCCTTCTCCCAGTCGTAGTTGGCGATTTCTTCATCGATTTCGTCCACGATCTCCGGGTGCATGGCGGCGACCTCATCGATCGTCGTGGCCTTGGTCGTGCGCGTCTCTTCCATCAACGCAATGAGTTCCTTGAGCTCCTCAATGCGCTCGACCGAGTCGACAATCTCGGCGTCGAGGCGCTCGTACGTCGGCTTCAAGTCGGCCTCGAGCGAGCTGCCGGCCGTGTAGCAGTCAACAGGCTTGATGTCGGGGAAGACAATGCTGGCGTAGTTCTCCTCAAGCGCCTCGACGAGGTCCTTGTTCTTGATCAAGGCCTTGTAATGTGCGAAGTTGATCTTCTCCGGCTCGCCGGCAAACTCACGAGCCTCGGCCATGATGGCCGCATGCGCCTGCTTGAGCGAGTCGAGCGACGCACGGGCGCGCGGGTCCGCGAGCTTGGCGCGGAGCGGCTCCCACTGCGTCGTCAGCGTCAGAGAGCTGTAGGCGCGGTTCGAGCGCTTCAGGAGAGCCACGCTAAGACGGTTCATCGTGACAAAGTCGTTTGCAAAAAGCACCAATTGACTACTAAAGCTCAGCCACCCACGGCCGTCCGCTCCAAACCTCCGCCTTCGAATACGCGTGGCGCAACCTCTGAGAATACATATCTTCGTTTTTTCCGTGGCGTTCGGCACGGCCCCTCTCTTTTTATTCCAAAGTAGGAGAATAACATACAAATACGTATATAAAATTTCAAGAAGCCAAAAAAAGATGGTGACAGAGGGCATTAAAATACGCTTTGATAACACCATTTGAATGTAAGGTACGCTGCACCGATTTCGTGTGCTCGTGTTCGTGGCAGTTCACATACAAACACCGAGGTAAAGAAGACGCACCTCCTGTATCATAAGCGCACCTACGGCTCAGGAGTCGGCAAGTCGACACAGCGGACACGTTAAAGAACGATGATTGTGGAGACCGTAGCCGGCTTAGAGAGTGCGAATTTATAGAGCAAGTACCAAGTGCCGCGATCTGGCGACTGTATGGTACAGGCGAGTGACTTCGTCGCGTCGGCGATGGATTTAGGTGCGTTTCCACACTATTTAGTGATGAATAATGCAGCAATCGGCACCGTTTACGGCGATAGGTGCGTGAATGCGTGGGCATAAAAGCGCACCAGTTAGGTCTTCCTCCGAAGGCCAAAGCTTGATTTTCGTGGCAGGAAGAAGCAGCAGCAGCAAGATGATGATGGAGACGGGCACCGAGAAGTTCAAGCGCAAGTTCGCCGAGAACCCGTTCGTCCCTGTGGGCTGCGCCGTGACGGCGGTGGTCCTTGCGGGCGGCCTGCGCACGTTTGTCTCGGGCGGCGACTCGCGGACACAGCAAAAGTTTATGCGCGCTCGTATCTTCGCCCAGGGCGCGACGGTGGTGGCACTCGCCGTCGGCGCAATCATGACCGACAACAAGTCGCCGACCGGCAAGTATCTCAACGGCCTCAAGGACCAGCTCCTCGGCAAGCCCGTGGCCGGCGATGAGACCAAGTAGTAATGACAACACGCTTGTTTTTATATAGTATCGAGTCGTGTTGCGAGCGTCTACTAGGCGAGGAAGAACATGAAGAAGACGACAAAGATCAAGAGGATCGCCGAGATCTTCATCGTGAGCATGCGGTTGTTGGAGAGGCTATTGTAGAACTTTTCGAGTTGCTCCTGGCCCGCCGAGATGTTCATGACGGTCTCGTCTACGTTGTCGTCGATCCTAGCACCACACACGACTCAGTAGAGCCCTTCAAACAAAGAGAAGTTGCGCGTACCGCTGCACCATGTCGCCTTGCTCACTGATCATGACGGCGAGCCGCTGAAAGATCTCGCCCAGCTCGACAATGTGCGATTGAATGTTGCCCACGGCCTCGGCACGGGACTCAGCGTAGCCTTGCTCGTTTACAACAAACTCTTGACTCTACGTACTCGATGACGCCACGGTTCGATCAGTGGAGAGGGTACCTGGGCGGCGATGAGCGGCGCCGACTCGCTTTCGCCAGCATCCACGCCGTCCGGACGCGGCAAGGACTGAAATGCCAGTGGCTTGCCGAGCAGACTGCCATTGCATATGTAAGGATACCACGTGCATGTTTGTAGTCTACCTCGGGTTGGATCGGCCATATTGAGATTTCCGCTCGTGCTGATGCTGCAACGTCTCTTGCCGGACCTACGCGTCATGTCAACAAACAGAGCTCGCGAGGAGCAGCGCACCTGCAGAATGTCCTTGAAACCTTGTGTGGTCGACACGAGCGATGTCTTCATTTGGCTCACGATCGTATCCGAGTGCTTGGCTGCTTGATGGGAGGAGTATCCGGCCCGCTGGCTTTCTTGGTAGACCTAGGACGTACATGCGCTTCATGGCCTTCTCAAGAGATGGACGTACGTGGAGATCGTCGAGCTTGGCGTGGATGATGTTGATGTCTTGCTTGACGAGCTGCGTGAGCTCGTTGATTTGGTTGGTCGGGTCGTTAAACATGTTGGTCTGCCGAACGACTAGCACGAGTAGGCATGAGGTCGACGTCGCTAGGCGCGCCAGTACATACGCAACGTGAGCTGCTGCAGCCGCTGTGATACTTTGTTGACGTCCTTCGAGACGTCCGAAGCCGCCGCATTGAACTGCGCTTGCTGCTGCGCGGCCGAGAGCGGCTTCTACAGAGGGAGCGTTCGCCGTCGTCGCCACCGCGTGGGCCATCGTACCTGCTTCCGGGGCTTCGGGGGATCGACCCGAGGGACGTGGCCTTGGCAAAGGCGCAAGAATTCGTACGTCCGGTCGGTCATCCTGGCGCGGCAAGTCGTCTGTCCCGTCCCGATGCGGCCAGGGCTTTATTACACACCCTCGGCTGCCGTCGTTTTGACCGGCGCCCGATTTTCATGGACCCTCGACTCCACCATCGCACTGGATGTTTGTATGGGGACGTTCTTGTTTTTTGAGGGCCCCCTACTTTGCATGGCACCTTTGGATTGGCTGTAACTTTGATATTTCCGTCAATGACCACCAATCACAATCGCGCAGGCTTTATTTGCAGACAGCCAAGACGATCTTGGTCACGCTTGACTCATTGTTGCGCTCAGAACGGAGGCCAGCTCGCCACGATGGCAGCGAGACGCGTCCTTTGCAACCCCGACTTGGTAGTGCTGCTCTGGGCCTTCCAGCCCGGGCTCCCTCGTGATCTCTACGACCTCGTGGCCGAGTGCCGAGCGATCGCGACGTGCCGCAGCTACGACGACGCGCTGTATTACCTCTTGCCAGCCCGATATGAACGATCCCTCGCATCGCTAAAGGTGCAAATCGCTGACGCCAGCAAACTTGAGCTCGAGCTCGAGGGCGATGTCGACGTGAGCCAGAAGCATCTCGTGTCGGCGAGCGCTCTCTTCCTCTGCGAAGCTGCGCCGGCGGCCATGCTCGCCATGCATCTCTTGGTCCTCACGCTGGACCTCGAGCGTTTACACCGATGGCTGCGCTTCCAGTCGCCACCAAATGTAGTACTCTCGTCCAACACACTCGACTTTGCGGCACGTTGTGGACGCATCGAGGTGCTCGAGTACCTTCTCATCATCGCTAGTCCCATGCGATGCTCGTCCAGGGGCTACGACGCTGCAGCCAAGTACGGCTGTCTCCCCATCGTCGATCGTCTCGAGAGACTTGGTGTTCCTTGCACCGAAGCGGCTATCGACGGCGCTGCGCTTCACGGACATTTGGCCGTCGTCGCCTACTTGCATGGGCGCGGAAAGCCGTGCACGACGCTGGCCATGAGCGGCGCAGCAGCCAAAGGCCACCTCGAGGTCGTTCGCTATCTCCATGTCCATCGACACGAAGGCTGCACATCGTGGGCCATGATCGGTGCCGTCACAGGCGGCTTTGAGCGCACCATTGCGTTCCTCCAAGGGCACCGGCCGGAGTGCGCTCCGACGCTTCGCCCTCCATCCCGCCCACGCGCCACCGCATCTAGTAGCTCGCGCGCTCGACCACTCTCGGCGGTCGACGCTGAGCTGCTGGCCTACCTGTGCCCGTCGGCTGCGTCGACGGCTCAACAATGTTAAATAAGAGTTGCGTGTGTTTAGTTTGACGTGCCAGCGGTTTTGGGTTTTGGCGGGAGGTTGGGGCCGAATTGACCGCAGCTGCAATGCCTAATTAGGCCGAAAAAGCCGAATTGCATTCACAGAGGCACTGGACGAGGCCATTTTCGATATCTGCGGCGATGGAGAAGGAGCAAGTGGTGAGCAACGTCTTCTGGGGCCACAGCAGCGGCGTCCTCGTCGTCAACCCGTCCGGGCTCCTCTGGCGCAGCCGGCAGACCGAGTCCCAGAAGAAGGTGCTGAAGGACGATATTGTGAGCCTCCTCTACTCGGCCATGGGCCCCAAGCAGTTCCACCTCAAGGTCTCGCAGAAGGGCGGGCGCACCGTGCGCTTCGCCGGCCTCAAGACGGCCGACATTGACGTGCTCAAGAAGTGCGCGCCGGACTTTCTCGGGCGCGACCTCGAGGAAGAGCAAGTCGCGGCCGCCGGCGGCAACTGGGGCACAATGCAGTTCCAGGGCTCCAACCTCAACTTTATGGTGCAAGACCATGGCATTGCGATGGATCTGCCGCTCGAGTCGATCTCGCAATGCGCGCTGCCGGGCAAGACCGAAGTCGAGCTCCAATTCCACGAAGACGACACGATCGCGGGCGACGAAGAGACGCTGGTCGAGATGCGCTTGTACATTCCGGGCGACCTCGAAGACGGCATGAGCGCCGAGTCGTTCAAAGACGATGTGCTCGCGCGCGCCAACATTAGCAACATTACTGGCAAGAGCATCGTCGAGCTCGACGAGTCGATGGGCACGTTCCTCACGCCCCGTGGGCGGTACGCGATCGAGCTCTACGGGTCGTTCTTGCGCATGCACGGCAAGACGTACGACTACAAGATCATGTACAGCAACATCAACCGCTGCTTCCTCCTCGAGTACCCCAACTCGACCAACACGGCGTTTGTCATTTCGCTCGAAGAGCCGATCCGCCAAGGCAAGCAAGGCTACCCGCACCTCGTGCTCCAGCTCGCGCGCGATGAAGTCCATATCGATGTCAACTTGACCCAAGACGAGATCAAGGCGTACGACGGCAACATCCACGAGCGCATGTCGGGCGCCTTGCCGCAGATCGTCGCGACGCTCTTCAAGTTTATCATTGGCAAGAAGGTCTACACGTCCGGCAAGTTTGTCACGCACTCTGGCGACCGCGCCGTCAAGTGCGCGGTCAAGGCCAACTCGGGCGTCCTCTTCCCGCTCGAAAAGTCGTTTATGTTTATCCACAAGCCCACGACGTTCATCCGGTACGACGACGTCGACTACATTGAGTTTCAGCGCTACGCCGGCCAGTCGGGCACGTCGGCGTCGCGCAACTTTGATTTGCTCGTGAGCTGCCGCGCGGTCGGCCAAGAGCTCGCGCACGAGACGCTCTTCTCGGCCATTGACCGGCGCGAGTTCCCCGAGCTCTCGCAGTTTTTGACGTCCAAGAAGCTCAAGATCCGCAACCTCAAGGAGACGCAGGCGACGGCGCCGGCCAAGCGCGGCTACGAGGAGATGAACGAGGCGCTTGGGCCGGAAGAAGGCGAGGTCGACGAAGAAGAGGAAGAAGACTCGGACTTTGGCCCGGGCGCCGAGTCGGACGACGACGGCTCAGACGACTTTTCCGACGAGAGTCTCAGCGGCAACGACGAAGAAGAGGACGCCAACGACGATGGCCAAGCCAAGAAGACGGACAAGAAGAAGAAGAAGGACAAGAAGAAGAAGGCCAAGAAGGCCAAGACCGGCGGCTCGGACGACGAGGCCGAGTAGGATGTTAATCTATCCACAATCAATACGTGGCTGCATATCTCGAAAGATGGGAATCTTGCTAATGCTGTCGACACCGTCTCGTCACCATTGCGATGTTCCTGTTGCGATAGTCTCGACGAGTTTGCTACGCAGCAGAGGCGTGTGATTGGTCAGCGCGATGGTCGAGGCGGCCAATGGGGCGTCGACAAACGGATCTTGTTGTGGGACGAGAATCAATGAAATATGCAATGTTGAGCGAGTTAGTCATCGCTAGTAGAACCCAAGTCGGTGCAGCTGTGTCTCGAGGTCCCGGATTTGTTTCGAGAGCTCTTGCGTACGCTTGAAGAGGGCGCTCGTCGAGAGTCCTTCGATTGTGGTTTGCAGCTCCCGGATCGTCGTCGCGTTGGATTCTTGAGCGGCTTCGGCCGTGACCGCCCGCGTCTCGAGCGCCTGCATGTCGGACTTGGCGTCCGTCTCCTGCGTCTGCAGCGCCGTTTCCAAGGCGGCTACGCGCGCCAGGAGGTTTGTCGTCTCCTCCTGGAGCTTCGCCTTGGCCGCTGCGAGCTCCGACTTGTCGGACGAGAGCGCGTTGACACCGGCCGAGAGATCGTTGATGGTCGTCATGAGCTTCAAGATCTTGTTCTCGAGGCGCAGCTCGTTCGATGCGGCGCGGGCAGCTGCATCGTCGGCTTGCGCTTTGAGCGCCTCGTAAGCCTTGCGTTCTGCTTCGAGCTCTGCGGCTGCGACCAGGTCTGGCGGTGCCGGTGGCTCACCCAGAACCACCTCCATGTCGCTGTCAAAGTCGGTGTCTTCGAGAAGCGGCCCATCAAAGACGGTCCACTGACTCCATTCATCGACGTCGCTGCAAGCTGGGCAAACCACACGGCGGCCGCGTACAGCATCTTCGTACTTGTCTCGAAACTCTGCACCCTTGGCGGCTAGCGCCTTCTCGTGCTCGGCCTGGAGCTGCTGGATGTCCGCTTCGTGCTCCGAGGCGCCGGCCAAAGCCGCTTGA